GCACATTGAACAGGTGGAAAGAAAATGTAAAGCCTTATTCTCTGAATCACTACCATGCAACACACGATTAACATTAAATTAGTCATGGGTTGATCCTCCAAAGAAGAGAAGGGGGGGGGGGGGTGAGTAGGGAAGAGAAGAAAGAGAGAAGAGGAGGAATTAGAGCAAGGAGAGAAAGTACGGATTGCAGTGTTTACCTGGTAGCGGTGAGGATGAACGGCCTGGGATGCCTAAATGCAGAAAAAAAAAACAAAAAAAAACAATGGACACCTCAGCTATTGTTTTCAATGTGCAATAATCCTTGAACAATGGGTAAATAATTTATTTAACTGAAGAGAAGAGGGTTCCGTTGCAAATCAATAAAACACCGTGAAGACTAGCGTATGAGCTGTAAATGTTAGCTACCCAGTGTTTGTTTCACTCATTATTGCAATCATGAGTTGGGAAGGAAAACCACCCAATAAGCATCCCATATATTCTGGCTGCCTCAGTGACCATTGTGTTAATACTCTCTGGTAAATTGCCACATGAATTAAGTCTGGAGCTGTGTCATAATGAGAAAATAGTGTCACTACATTGGCATTAAAGAGAGACTAATACATGGGTGCGTGTAGATATAGAAGTTCTCTTCAAGTTCTTAACGCGATAGCTCATGAGTAAGATATCTAGTTCGATGCGAGAACAGAAATTTCATATCTACAAGCCAAGTGATAGATTTTTGAGAAGATTTTGCTGTCCACTTTTCTTTGAACTTAACCACCTTTAGCAATTGATTGTCTTTAAGAAAATTGATGAATACCAGTCCCTTTCAAGGGAGATAAAAAAATACATATTTCAGACTTCTACCTGATGCTGCGGTTGTCGTCACTGGCTGACCTAGATACAGAGGGAAAAAAATTTGGAAGTGTTTGAGTAAGCGTGTAGCTTTTCTGTAAAATAGCAGTTGGTTTAGATTAGAAAAGGGAAAAAAACAACAAAAATACATTTATATAACCTGAGTGTAATAAAATGAAATAAAGAGAAAGGGATCAACTGAAAATGGCAGACTAATGGTTGTAAAATTTGTTTTTATTGTTGATGATTCAGCAATCAGAAATTATGTCCAGCCACAAATTGTAATTGTTGGAGATCTTCACGACATTGATCTCCTGTAAATAGTAACAAAGGGTAGTGTAATTCTTCAGCTCCCACAAGAGAAAAAAAATTATGATGCTCTCATTGGGTTACTTGGCTCATTTTATACTTTCAATGTATCTGATATTCAGTCAAAGGCAATTTTGACTTTTGTATAGCAAACATTGCTTGAAATTGGGCACAGGCAGACTCTTGCCTCTGACTATTTCCTCCTTTTTCGATGACATGGCAAATACCTGATGTAGCACTTGCTGAAAGCTTATGCTTTGATATTATTTAAAGCAAAAAATAAGTGCATGTATTCTCACATCCACTGGAAGAATACTCAATGCTGCTCTAAGATTCTTTGTTTTTAGATGCAAAAATCAAACAAGATCTATATTCTTGCGCAGGAGCAAGACCATTGTTGCCTTCGCCTTCAATGTTCTTTGAACTTGGCCACATTTAGCAACTGATTGTTTTAAAGAAAATAAGTGAAGACCAATCCCTTTTGAAGGAGATAAAAAATATATCTCAGACTGGTTGCTAGTTTACAAACATGGGGGTTCTCAGAACCCTGTTCAGTCCTTTTGGGTCATCTGAAAAGGTTAAAGAGTGGGAGAACCTACCTGATGCTGTGGTCGTTGTCACTGGCTCACCTAGATACAGAGGGAAAACATTTTGGAAGCGTCTGAGTAAGTGTGTGGCTTTTCTCTAAAATAGTAGTGAGTTTAGGTAAGAAAATGGAAAAAACAAACAAAAAAAAATGAAACAAAACAAAAACCAAAACAGAAGAAAATAAGAGAAAAACATAGAAGCAAAAAAAAAAAAAAAAAAAAAAGTGAAAAACAACACGAAGAACACTAAAAGAAACGTAAAAGAAAACAGAAAATTTTAAGTGCATGTTAAGTAACAGGTACCCTTAATAAATGGACCACTGGCGTCACACGTAGGTTGCTTCTCGTCCTTCCAATTATCAGAAAAACAATATCCCAAATTTCATTTCGACCTGGAAACTGTGGACAACAAAAGTCACCACGTGGATTGTCCACTGCTAAATTCCGAACACTTTTATCATGAATACTATTACTATTATTACTATTATCATCATTGTATAACACTCATATAAACATCACCTTTGGCTATTTTGAGGATCGTGGTGGACGTTTCCACCCCCGTCAGGTTTCTTTTGGCTTTACAGATAAAAAGTTTTCCATCATCCACAGCTATTACCCTCTTGATAACTAATGTTCCATTTACGTAAATGTCAAAGTTAGGGTTATCAACAATTGGCTCTCTCATTCGTTCAACACGAGCTATCCGGGAGTTGTCCCATTTGGATTCGCAATCAGCAGTACGGCAGCGGTACCAACCGATATGTTCCACATTTTCTGAATTACTTGATGCAGAGCAAGTTAGCAGGATTGTCTGGTTAATTTGTACTGTAACCTCAGCACCTATCAAACAAAGGGTAGTGCACTTTGTTTTTCAATTTTTATTTTAACATTATAACTGTTAAGTTCATTCAGATCAAACCGCAAAAAAGGGAGTTACTTTCAGTAAGCTATTAATAAGAATCCACATGGGTGATTAAACTTTGAAATTATTCCACTCTCTATCAAATTTTGAAGCCCTCTAAATAATTCTTTTCTCTGATTTGTGTCACTGTCATTTCACCTGATGCTGCGGTCGTCGTCACCGGCTGACTTGGATACAGTGGAAAAAAAATGGCAGCGTCTGAGTAAGTGCGTAGCTTTTCTCTAAAATAGCAATTGGTTTAAATAAAAAAAAATAAATAAATAAAATCAAAACAAAACAGAAGAAAATAAGAGAAATAATAACAATAAAAAACAAGAACAACACCACGAAGAACAGTAAAAAAAATTAACAGACCAAAAAGAGCAAACTTTCTTTGCGTTTCTCGCTACATCTACCCTCACGAAGCTAGCCTAACTACAAATTAAGTCAATACCTTAAACATAAACGTTACAGGTGAGGGTATCATGTCCAAATGGATTCTTGGCGTAACAGGTGTAAAGTCCGCCTTCTAATACAGTGAAGTTGCGAATTTTGAACCTTGTTTGTGAATCGATATTCGATGTAGTCTGAAGGAGAAGTCACGATGGTTCCAAGTTATCCAGGGGTAAGAATAGCCCTGCACTCCAGCATCCAAATGAAAATCCATTCCTTCAATCACATGAAACTCCAGAGGACTCTCTAGTATTAATTGTGGGGGGAAGGGTTCTAAAAAAAAATTAAAATTATTCAACTACTTTAAGGAATTTTTTATTCCTTTAGTGACAGAAAAGAGAAGCAAAGATGCAAAGAACAGCGTCCGAAGTGATAGGATTAAATAAACGAAAGCGAGGAGTGGGGATGGCGACGTGGCACCCGTTTCTCGAAAGTCCCAGAAACTTTAAGGGCCTAAAGCCATATTTTAAAATCAATTTTTAAAGAACGGAGAAGCAGGTTCTGGTACACTTACCATTTCAATTTGTTTCTTTGGCTGACAGTCTTATTATAAACTTGTTTCAAACAGCAAATTTTACGGGTACGTGAAGCTACCGGGACCCTAAATAAATGGACCTTTGACGTCTCAAGTGGGTTTCTGTTGCTTCTCGTCCATGTCCCGTTTCATTTTTTCTCAGGGTTCTCCAGTTATACTCGCCCCCCCATCCCTATTATCATCTTTGACTACATGGAGGATCGTCGTAGACCTTTTTCTCCCTATGTGCTTCTCCTCGGAAATGCAGATAAACAATTTTTCACCATCCGCAGGTAGCACATTCATGATAACTAAGGTTCTGTTTGTGTAAACGTTAAAGTTTGGGTTATCGGCAATTGTCTCTGTCACTTTTTCAACATACGCTATCCGGAACTTGTCCCAGTCGTGTTCGCAATCATCGGTAGAGCAGCGGTACCAACCGATATATTTAACATTTTCGTGAAGTTTTATTGTAACCTGAAGCTCAGCACCCATCAAATAAAGAGTAATATAAATTTTTTTCACTTTTTATCTTATTTCTTAAACTTCCATGAGTGACAAAGAAAGAATTTCTCCTTACAATATCAATACAGTATCATCCACATAAGTTATGAGAATAAAGAAAAATATCAATTTGGGGATAATTAGTTGATTCAATACTAAATTCTCAGTTGACAGTAAGGAGTAAAGGGGTAAGTTTCTAAAGAAACTGTACATGTGGTGCTGCGTCGGTGGGAGAGTATAGCAGGTAATTTAGTGTTAACAACTGGGTTGAAAACGTAAATTAGCCACCGTAAAGGGTAAAAAAGCTGACGTTTCGAGCGTTAGCCCTTCGTCAGAGCGATTAGAGGAATTGTGGGTTGTGTGTGGATTTATATGCAGAAAGTGGAGCTACGCCATTGGTGGGAATATGGTGACGAGAAAACAGGAATAAATTAGTTGAATGAAAAGCGCTCGTTGATTCCGTGGGGATTAAGGGTGCCGATTTGGAATATAAATTTTTGTTCTAGTGTTTTACGGCTTTCCGAACTGCCTAGATGTAAGGAAAGGCCGCAAACTGACATATGCTGTTTAGAATGATAAGGAAGATTAAAGTGTCTAGCGACTGGTTTGGATGCGTCCTTGTCATTTCTTTCCACATCGCGAAGGTGTTCTCGGAATCGGTCACCCAGTCGTCTTCCTGTTTCGCCGATGTATAACTTATTGCAATAAGTGCAAGTTATGCAGTAAATAACATTGGCGGAGGTACACGTAAAGTGATCAATGATCTTAATGGATCTTTTGGGTCCCGATATTTTCTTTACGTTATGAATGAAAGGACAAGTTTTGCATCGTGAGCGAGCGCATTTAAAAGTTTCAGATTGGTCATTGGTTTGAAATGAACTCCTGACTAAAAAGTTGCCTATGTTTTTGTCACGTTTGAATGAAATAAGTGGGGGTTGCGAAAAGATAGTGCCAGTCTCTGAATCTCTGAATCTGAAGTCTCCTTCTCGGCCGTTTGTAGTGCTGCCTGTCGATCGATTTGTTGGGCACGGTGGTAGCCCGCTTGAACGACAGAAACAGGATAGCCACGTTTATCGAAAAACTGGCACATTGCCTCTGATTTTACGGAAAAATCAGAGTCGTCACTACATAAACGACGAAGTCTGAGAAACTGTGAAAAAGGTATGGAGTTCTTGACGTGTGATGGTTGTGAGGATGAATACAACAAGTAACTATGTGAATCTGTAGGTTTGTAGTAAACACTAGTACATAAGCCGTTGCCTTCAATTGAAATTTTGATGTCTAGAAAAGCCAAAGAAGTGTCGGAAATTTCCCAGGTATATTTAAGAGCCGGATGAAAGGAATTGACGGCGGTTATAAATTGAGTGAGCTCCTCTTTGGTAGAGGAGGTAGCGCCGATGCAATCGTCAATGTAGCGGCCGTGGAGTTCAGGTTTTGGGCCGTGGTATTGGCTAAAAAATTGATGTTCGATAAAACCTACGAAAAGATTGGCGTAGCTGGGTCCCATTTTAGTACCCATGGCCACGCCATCAGTTTGTTTGTAGTAGTTACCACCGAATGAAAAGCAACTGAGTGTGAGTACTAGTTCGGCCAGACGGAGTAGTGTTTCAGAGCTAGGTTCCTTAACAGTGCGTTGATCGAAAAAATGTTTGAGGGCCCGGAGACCTTCGTCATTGGGAATGACAGTGTAAAGAGATGTTATATCCATGGTGAAAATAAGTTTGTTTTGGTCGAGGAAACAAAAGTCACGAAAAATTTCAAGTGCGTTTTGGCAGTCCTTAATGTACGACGGTAAAGTTTTGACGATAGGTGCCATAACTTTGTCTAAATAGCTGGAAATAAGTTCAGTGGGACAACTGCAGGCAGAAACGATGGGTCGACCTGGGTTGTTTGGTTTGTGGATTTTAGGTAAAAGTAAAGTAGAAAAAGGAAAAAGTAGATACACGAAGTTCTAGGAGTGGTAATGATGAGATTTTTAGCAGTGGCCGGCAATTCTTGTTTAGCTATAAGATCGTTAATCGTATTTTTGACAATGTTTTGGTTAATTAAAGTGAGATCTTTGTCGACTTTAGCATAAAAGGAGGTGTCAGAAAGTTGCCGCAAAGCTTCTTTTTGGTAGAGGTCGGCCCGCCAAACAACAACTGCACCGCCTTTGTCGGCCGCCTTAATGACAATGTCTTTGCGTTTTTTAGACTATTTAGTGCCGACCACTCTTCCGAAGAAAGATTGGAAAATTTGGTGTAACGATTGAATTTAAGTTTGTTGATATCATGGCGACATTTTTTGAGGAAAAAATCTGAAGATGAGAACTGGCCCTCTGGGGGAGTCCATTTAGACTTTCGAATCTGGAGTGTTTCGAAAGTATCTTTGTTCGAGGTGTTAGAATCATCCTCTTTGTCATGAAAAAAGGCTTTCAACTGAACGCGGCGAAGGAATTTTTCAACGTCTTGCTTAACTGAAAATTCGTCGGTTTTTTGTGATATGGGAACAAAATTTAAGCCCTTGCTGAGAACTGATTTTTCTGAATCGGAAAGTAGTAAATTTTCTGGAATGGTAACTACAGTTTTGAGGTTTTCAGGAGATCAGTCGTTAGTAACTTGAGGGCCGATAAGTTGGTCGAGTATTTGGGCCTTAATTTGGTGCAAATGTTTAAAAAGTTTAGAATTGGCATCCTGAATTTTGGCACGAATGGATTGTACTAAAACAGCTGGACAGATTTTGGAAAGTTCAGAGCGGCAATGTAGAATTTGTTCGGTGAGTTTGTTACGTTTTTGGCACATAGCTCTGATTGTGATCCTCATAATATTACCTGAAAAAGAATTTTGGGCGCACTTGGACAGTAAGGAGAATTACAAATTTGATCTGAGAGTTAAAGAGTTAATATAAGAACTGTTAATATCATTCTCATTAATATTATCAGTATCTTCATTTTTATCCAATTTTATATCAGGAGTGTTCAGAGAGCTTCTTTTTGAAAACTTTCATATAATTACACGATTTTAAGTGTTAGATTTAAATATGGAATAAATTTTAGTTTGTCATTGTTTTGATCATTATCATTATCATTATCATTATGAGTCGGGGCGGAAGAGCCCCTGACTTGAAATCGACTCCGAGGTCTCCGAGGATGGTTTTCAGTCTGATTGCCACTACTTTTAATATCCATCGTTATTATTTTTGTTACTATTGATATTGTCATAATTGTTAAGAACATGTTTTTGTAATGCCCGCTTAGTTTAATTACTGAGCACACAGCGCCCTCGCGATCTGCTTGACTGAATCACCATTGATATGCCGCAATTTTGAGTTCATGAATAAAAATTACCAAATGTTTTATTGTAGTTTATCGACGTACCTGATGACGTATTGATGGTAAGAGGCACCTTGTTACATATTTGGTGACTTTAGAGATACTATGGAATGTACTTCAGGAAATTGAAGGTGTCAAAACGCGAGTAAAACCGTAGATTTAAACTGGCGAGAGCAATGCTAACCTAGGCTTAGCTGGGATAAGTGATGAACGCATGTCTCAAAATTCTCTCTCCACTGATTAAAGTATCGAAAAGGCCGCCAAAGATCTTGTTGCTTTGACTCGTTCACAACCAGACTGACATAACATTAAAGCGGCTTTCTATAGTCAACTCCGATCGCCAGCTCAAATATTTATTTATTAAGGAGGGATATAGTTTTTTTGTAGCTGATCATGATGAATTTCACAAGTAAGTTCTCTATTGCGCGTATCCCATTCACCAACACTGAGCAAGACTTTGGAAATAAAAATTCAAGCATTCATGAATTACACAAAATCACCCGCGAATTAAAAGTAACAAGTTTTCTTGAATTCCCCGCACCCAAAAAACTGACAACCAGAAATGCGGTGCGGGATAAGCAGACAATTCTTAGCCCATTTATTGAACTAACCAACTAATCACAAGACAAAAACAACTGTTTACACTGTTTAGACACCAAAAAAAAAAATTAAACAAACTCTACACGTTCGATGCGGCCAAAGTAAATTGAATAAACAAAACCACTTATAATGACTGTCAATCATCAGGAAAGCACAACTAAGAATCGTTACGAGGAAATGGACTACAGGATTCCAACCAAACAATAAAGAAGAACAAAATTTAACTGTCCGCTTGTAAAAATCCACAATGAAACTTGTTTACTGTTCAACGAATATATACTTGCTAGTTTACATATCACACTTCTTTCCCATAATCTCACGCCGGCACTTAAAACACACTGCCGACAAATGCACTCGTGCTCGGGAATTCAAGAAACCATTTATCTTTTGTTTCATTACGCTTCGCTACATTCAGGCAAAGATAAATGAACAATTAAATTTCGATTCACTCCGAAAGCGAGAAAAATTCCACATCAGCAGACAAACCATGTCCTTTGTTGTGACTTCTCCGGCTGCGAAAAAGTATATCTGCCGCCATAGTTACAAATGAGTCACACATCTGCCGATAGGTGAGTAGATTCTGGGGTTTCATAAAACAAACTAAGTGCTCTAATAACAAACCTTTGGATCTTTGGATCTCAGTATTGAGCCCGATGAAAAGAAGTACAGAAGAATTTTTCTCAAAGAAATGTACATATCAAGTGGAAAATCCGCTACAAATTAAATCAACGTCGATTCGGCGAACAGTTGACAGTCGATCACAAGTTGAATGGAAAAGTGAATTTAATTTCTTGGTCATGTCCAATGTTGGACTAAGTTTAGCAATGACCTCAACAAAGAAAGGTCACACAACATCGTCTTGTATTTTAAGTGAAGTGACTGTTTTACGGAATAAGAGATCAGAAAAAGTTTTTTTCTCAAGAACGAATCTCACATGTTTTAACCTATCTATGAATCTTTCTTTTTATATGTTTATTTATTCATTTTATAGCGATGATAAAGACACCTGTGTGTCATATAGTGGTGGTTCTATTGACCTATTCGTGTCATAGTTACCTTCATACAAGCAGCTGACAAGGTCTTTGCATGTATTCGTATAATTGGTTAACAGGGGTAATGTTTGCACGAGACTTTGGCCCGATCATGTTAGGCTGGCGAAACTGCAAAAAGGTGTTTTCATTCGGAAACGCATTCATCTTTTTATTACAGTAGAAACGGTAGAAACAGTAGTAACATTACAAAGACAAACGGTGGGCGTAATTTTCAAAACACAAAATCCTCAGTCATTGACTTGGTCCTTACCAACAGAAGACATCTTTCAGGTACATCGCTAAAATCTGCCTACGGCAAATCTTCCATTCGTCGAGTTTCCTTCACAGCCGGGAGAAATGCCATCACCAAAGCCACTGAATTCGTAACTTTCGGTTTTTTCTTTCCGTATTTTGGTATTCATCTACTTCTAGCAAAGTCTGATCGTCACTGTCTGTAAGCGATATGGATTTTTTTTCAGCGTTTTAACAGCCATAATCCGAAAAAGTTCCGACAAACGACCTTGGATTGAGAATGGTGAAGGCTTTGCCCTTCATTAATCAACCTGACCGATTGGCGCGAAAGGCGAGCAACATGTCAGCAGCTGATTGGCGATATCAAAAACACGTGAGAAAATACATTTTTCACCTGTGTTGTCACGGCTTTTCCCAGGGCTGGAAATCCTTGTATTACACCTTAGTTTCTGTGATAAATAGAGTTAACCATAAAAATTTTTCTTGCAATCACAATTAAAGTAATGTAACCGATGTCCATAAAACAGCTAGAATTTTAACCGTTAGCCGTTTAAGTCATCGCCCCAATGAGACGGCTTTCATGAAATTCACACTGATTATTATGGCGTTCAAATAGCCTTGACTGCCTTCGTTTATATTTCAATAAATTGACCTGCTTTTTAAATATCTATTGTGGCGAAAACCTTTTTTAAGTATTGCACACATACAGCGGAAAATGCTGCTCTAGGGTATAAAATACGCTTTAGATATAAGGAATGTATAAAAAAAGTACGTAGACATGACATACCTACATACTTCATTGCATAGCGCCCCTTTGGGGGCTCGTCCGCCATACATGAATACTAAAATATCAAGTTACAAAGAAAAAAAAACTATTTACAGATAAAATATAGCTTAAAAAAACAGCTTACATTTCGATAATAACGGAAAAAAATATAAAAAAAAAATTAAATAACCTCTTTTAAAAAAAAAATTGCAGTTTTACAGCTTGTAACGTACTGACATCATGAACTTTTTTTTCTAACTTGAAAAGAAATGTGCCACTGATACATCAGTTTACAGGATCAAAAATAGAAAAAAAAATTAATGGAAACACAATCCTTACCAATTACCGTTAGAGAGCAACAAACATAGCCAATAATAACACTAAGGTTAAATTCCATGAGCACTCTACAGTGAATACGCATGATTAGCTGTTGAATTTTTAACATATCTAACGGTGTTCACGGATGCCTCAGTATCCCTCTTGCAACTACTAGTACCTGTTTTGTTGCGGCCTTTAAAGTTATACAGCTGGCTTTGATTTAGGTGACAGTTACAAGTTTTGCAACAACTTATTATTAACACTGATACAAGAACAAAGCATATCACCGCTAAAGGAATTATTATCGCAAGTGCTGTCGTAAGCTTCATGTATTTGCTGCATTCATCTACGAATAAATGGGTCATCGTTCTCTGTTAGTTTGTTTTTCTCATTCAACCTGATAACAGGGCTCCTGGGGAACACCATGCATAAGCTTAAACCTCGTGTTCTAAAACCTCTAAAAGCTTCAATCGGGAAAGCGGTTTAAGTTTAAACATCTGTTGCATTCAAGCGTCTTCTTCATATGCATAACTCAGAAAAAACGTCAGATTTATTTAACTATAAAACCAAACTTAGTTCACAACTCGTTGCGAAGGGTTAGGAGCAACGCATTAATCATTTGGAAAAAATCGATAGGACGGTGAACAATAACAACAAAAGCAAATGGTGGAGAAGAACAGAGAAATGAAGACGGTCATTCAGATATGAATGAGCGTCTTCATTTCTGTTGGCTTGTTTGTATTTTTTTCCTCAGGAAAAAAGCAAGCAAACAAACAAACAAAAAAAACAACGGTATACATACCTAAGGGAGGAGGGTCTATAAGGTTAGGAGCCTCCGAGGCTGGGATATAACCTTCATGGGAAATAAAATATATAATTTTAATTTTATAAAAAAAACTGTTCATCGCAATTAAATAACAGTATGGGTGAGAAAAAGAAGTTTCCAAAGTGACGATTCACAAAATGCCACCGATGATCTTCGCTGTCTAATGTTGCTTGAAAAAATGTCTTATCGCACCTCAGAACAGGAAACAATACCAAAAGTAACAAAAAGATGTGAGAAAAACTAGAGAGAGAGCAAAAAGTAAGAATAACACCAGTAGGCCAGAACAATGCTTGCTCAGTTTCAACAGTAAACTAACCTGGACCAGATGAAGACAAAGAAGTTGGGGTATCTGAGTAGAAAACAAACAAACAAAAAAAACAAAAGTGAGAAAAATTGAAAAGTGGGGATTATAGCACATTGAACAGTTGAACAGGTACAGGTGTAGGTGGTGCAAAATTGTCAGAATATACTTGATTACTCATGAAGAAAATTTAAAGCCTCTATTCTCTGAATCACCACCAATGCAACTCACAATTAACATTAAAATAGTCATAGGTTGATCCTCCAAAGAAGAGAAGGGGAATAGTGAGTAGGGAAGAGAGAAAAGAGACAAGAGAGGAGAGCGAAGGGGAGAGAAAGTAAGGATTGTAGTGTTTACCTGGCGGTGGTGAGGATAAACGGCCTGGGATGCCTGAATGCAGAAAAAACACAGCAGACACCTCAGCCATAGTTTTCAATGTGTAATAATCCTCTAACATTAAGTAAATAATTTTCTTAAGTTAAGATAAGAGGGCTCCAATGCAAATAAATGAAGCACCCTATGAGCAGTAATGGTAAGTGAGCCACACCCCCAAAAACTATTGGCACAGTGTTCCATAAACTGTTTTTCTTTTTAGGAAATTAAGGTCTTCTGATGGCATCTGGTAACCCGAGCTCCCTTTTTCATGACTTTAAGTGGCATTTATTTGCTTATGTGAAAAGTTATACCATGCCAGGAATCCAACATCAGTGAGTAAAAGTGAGTAGAATAAACTTACCTTCCACATTAACCCTCACAATGACAGTATCATTTCCAACAGTATTCTCTGTGTATAGGACATAGTCACCACTGTGGGCTTTAGTGATGCTTGGAATCTTCATTACTATTTGAGAACTGACGTTGGATGTCTCCTGTATGACACTTTCATTTGACTCCAAGACACGACTTAGAGAAACCCATGGATAGGGGTAGGCCTTCACCTGAGCTTCCATCCAAACATCCATCCCTTCAAAGACATAGATATTTTGCTGACTGACCAGTGTCAGAACTGGGCGCTCTGGAAATAAGTTAGAGAAAAAATGAAAAATATTGGTAAAGAAGTCAGGACTCCATTTTCCTTTACACTGATACAGAAAATGGCCAGAAGGACGCATGGAGACAGCATATAAAACAAAATAACTAAGAGGTAAACATTACCTTGTACTACTTTAAGATGGTAAATGTTTGGCTCAGCTCCGGTATCTGTCTGCACTCGCACGATGAAGTATCTTCCATCATACATGGGGAGAACTTCCTTGATAAGTAAAGTCCCGTTGAGGTGGGCATCGAAGTGTGGATTTTCAATATTTATCTTCTCCCTGAAATAGATGTCAGCTATCCAATGTCTGTCCCACTCATTATTGCAATCGTGAGTTGGGCAGGAAAACCACCCAATAAGCATCCCATTTTCTGGCTGCATCAGTGAACTCTGTAGCAATACTCTCTGGTGAATTTCCACATGAATTATGTCTGGAGCTGTGACATAATGAGAAAATAGTTTCACTACATTGGCTTTACATAGAGACTCATACGTGGATGCGCATGAGTGAGCTATCTTGTTGAATGCGAGAACAGAAATTTCATATCTACAAGCCACCAAGTAGTATTTTATTTAACATACAAAAACAAAAGCCCTTTACTGACAAGAAAAGTCAACTTTGAAATGAATAAATTAAGCCAAAGGCTTAAAAAAACAACACAGACAGCAGGCTAAAAAATTCATGATATCCGTTGCCCCAAAAAAACTGAATTGGACTTTACCCTCTGAGTTTGCAAAGAAAAAAATGAGAACACTACACAGACAAAGAGCTTGAAAACTAGTTAGACTTTGACCTTGGTACGATAACGGCAAATTATAATCAGATTTTTCATTCTAAGTATAATATTTAATAACGTCTAAAATCACTAAAGCACTTGTACTACAATTTTGAAACATGTGCAAGAACCCTGTTGGTAAGTTTGCAAAACATGTTTTGACATTACTTGTGTCGTCTTCAGTTGCAAATGCCATGTTACAAATCGAATTGAACTGACTCTACAAATACATTAATGAAATACGACGGACAATAACTTGATACAGAGTTGCGAATTATTGAATAAAATATAATGGAAAAATAAACTGCGATTCAATGAGAAATTTTTGCTAAACACAAACTGAACATGCAATTCATTGCTAGCCTAATGTACAGGTCAATGAATATCTCCTTCTTTATATACAGGTAGCTGGTTCTAGACGAGTTTGGAATTTAAGCATAAAAATTTTACTGAAGTTATGCATTTTCAAACAAATATTTATCATGACTCCTTGAAGTCTTTCAGGCACAGTGATTAATTGGACAATTACAAACTTATTTATGACCATCAGCCTGATCTGCCATGATGTCAGAACATAATGTATGTTTTTATAACAACAATTTTCCCTTGTCAAAGAAAATCAGTAAGCTACAAAATATTTAAGACAAAAAAAAATGATCAGGAGATAGTTAAGACCATTATTGTGTAATTTCCTCTTTGGATTCAACAACATTCTATTTTAACTAGGTGCATTTATGTGGATGACAGTACAGTAATACAGGGCGTGAAATTAATTCTTTTTTCTGATAGCTAATTAGCTCTTAAATTCTTCAAAGTGGTAGCCAATTCAAAAAAAAGTTGGTAGCCATTTTCAAAGACAAACTAAAACATTTGTTTTTACACTGTCAGTGTTCTAGATGGACCCTCCAAAATTAACCCTTTAACTCCCATGAGTGACTACAACAGAATTTCTCCTTACAATATCAATACAGTACCAAGCAGACAAGTGATGAGAATAAAGAAAGCTATCAGTTAAGGGATTATAAGTTGATCCAATACATAATTCTCCAAACTAACATCACAAGAACTGTATGGCAGACAGTAAGGAGAATTACTGATGAGATCTAGGGAGTTAAAGGTTTAAGTTAAGGAAAAGATCTTTAACAGGCTAAAAAATGGACACTAGGATGGATCATATACAACCTTCAAGCCTATATTCAAGATGGCGTCTAGTTATCGATCGACATGCACGTGCTGCGTTTTGGAAACAAACTTAACGAGGAAGTTTGTAGCGGATTTATCGTTGCAAATCTTTTTAATTCACTATATATCTTGATGAGGTTATGATGAAACATTCTAGTGGCCAATTTGGCGACTAATTTTCAGGGTTTGGTCGCCAAAGTGAAAAATGTTGTCACATTGGCGCCTGTATTAAGCGCAATTTGACGCCCTCATAAATGTTACAAGTAAAACCTGAAGCTTTCGAGAGCCACATTATTAACAAATGACCGACATGATTTATTGGCTTTGCTTTTCATATCAACAGATAGCATATTTCGGGGGGAAAAGTTTGCCTCAATGCAGCTAAATTTTGCGTTGTAAAATGACTCGAATGCTGTCAGGACGATGGCTAAAGTTTCTGCTGATTTAGCAGATCTTGGCTCAAAATCGACAACAATTAATGGCAATAGCTGGCCGTCTAAAGCTGGCGCGAGCAATGCTTACTCGAATTCGGTTAAAAATTAGTAAAAAACCGACGTAAGTCTCGCTCTTAAGTTACCCGAGAGATAGAAAGGGTCGCCAAAGTTCTTGTTAGCCGGTAGGAACTGTTTACACATTAAACACACAAAGTTTACATATCACACGGTAGTTCGTGGTTAACAATTGCTGACACGAGACGTACACAATCTATGCGGATTATGAATGAAGCTCTGAAAATTACATATATAAGTTACCTCTTGGTTTAAATATATATATCAGTATAGTTCAAAGAAATGTTAATCGACTCATTTGTGATATTTTCAGTCATCATGGGCCGTTTAAAGCGTCTTTTTACGAAATTACTTTTGATCGGTGGCCGTTGAGAATAGAAAGCGGGACGCTTCCCTGCCGGTCTACAATAACACGAACGGGAAATACCACAAAATATCATGCCGGAGCTGGTGCAAATATACTGAAACGTAAACAGGTTTTAAATCACAAACATACGTAGACAATAACATACCTTTACAGGCCATTGTTGGGGACAAAAAAAGTGAGAAAACAGCCATCAAAACCAACATTATCGGACGTACCGCGAAAAGCGTAACAGAATTACTTATTTTTTCCGGGCGCCATATATGGTGCTGGTAGTTGGTAGAATTTCTACAGTGACGTCACTTTCCTACAAGCAAAGAGGCATGGCTGCTAAGCTGATTTAATGCGCGGGCCGCGCGAAATTGAACTGCTGATTCCGTCGGCGGATTTATCGGCAGAAGTCGGAAATGACGGAGGTTTCTGCGAGTTCTTCTGCTAGTGATAATCCCAGGGTATGTATTCATTTGATATTTATGTTATCTTCGGTATTTCAATGTTTCAATTTTTAAGCTAAGCATACCTACTGAAAGCTTGAACTTAATCGTATTCGACTATTCCAGTCGCTGTTTTCGCTCGATATAGTCGCTCTCCTTGTCACCATCTCCGAAACTTATCGTTCGAAACTTATCATTTTCGAAATTTATCGTTCTTTTTCCCGATAACTTTCAGCTGGAATTTAGTAGGAGCCCTGATGATACTTGCGTTTCGTACGATTTTCGACTGTGAAGTGTGAAATTAATCACAATCGCCACTTTTATCTGTATCAACGCTACAGAAACTTTTTTGTTTTGCTTGTAAGATAACTGTGACGACGCTTCAAGTTTTCGTGAATCTTTTGTATAACTGATGTCTCTCGAGTGATATTACATGTTAAGTATCAATAATATGAGGGCATACATACACGGACTTTACACGCATTTTATGCATATGTAAAGTGCTACAACACGATATCGGAATTGAAGCCTATTTGCTCTCCATTAATGCGCATGCTGTGTCACTTGGAGCACGTTAAAGCAAGTATTTCTCGGCTTTATACGAATTACCCTTTATACTACTTATGTGCAAATCAAAACAAACATCCAAAGGTATTTCACTACAAATATCCGTGCACAATTTTTAGCAAAATGTAGGCTATTGTGTTTACTATCCTTCATTTTACACAATGCTCGACCACCAGGAAAACTTCCTGAGGGTGGATCACAAAGATGGCAATTCCGGCCCACCCCAGTTGGAGCGAAGTAATCAGAGGAAAAAACCAAAAACACGGAAACAAACATATGCAAAGGGACACAATAAACAGTTTTGCTTTCACCAGACTGGAATAACATTAATAACATGCATGTCTTTTCATTTAGTTAACATTTACCTAGAAACCTTATTGTTAAAGCCTGTGCGGAGTCCTTGGACGCACCGGAATTATACTTCTAGTTTTATGCGTTTTCAGCGCTTTCAGTTAAGTCTTGAGTCTTAAACTTTTCTCATGCTATCCTAGCATTCCTAGTGGGTTATCGTGCTAGTAAACCCCCAGGTTTTGCTCTGCAATGACCAGTAATTTGCCAGTGGTTTTTTAGGGGGAGGAGAGGAGAAAGCAAGTGATCACTTTTACATTAATAGCTAATATGTATCATGCTTTCCTCATTTTCCACATGGAACAGTTTTCGTTTGTTTTCAAGTAAATCATTTTATATCATAGATGTTGCCTGAAGAACCAATGTCTGAAGAAGAAGAAGAACAGGAAGAAGTGGAGGTACAGCTTTATGTACTTTAATTGTAATAAGTGTGCACAGTGGTTGCATCTTAGTTTGTGAATTAAGTTTGTGAGACATATAACCACTGAAATGTTATTGCATTTCTGTAAAGAAAAGTCTTAAAATTGATGTGAGCAAAGGTAGTATGGTTGCATTGTAACTTGTACTGCTGAAGTTAAGTTTAGATTTATAATGACTGTCAGTGGGTGAATAGACTTGTTAACCTTCCTTGAGATTGTTGAATGGTGATCAAGTATTTTCTTTGACAAATCTGACTGAATGCTATTGCACTTGGGGCTCTCTTACTATTGTGACAAGTTACTACACTTGTGCCTTCAACAAGGGTGTGTTTAATTCAGTGTGTAGGCTTCACTGTTCATTTGTACATACAATATAATTTTAAAAGCACTTAAAATGGAGCATTAAATTTATTGTCATCTTTTTGTGCTGCTTATTTTACAGAATTCATCAGCATCTGAATATGAAGATGCTTCTGATTCAGAAAGTGATGGAAATGATGAGGTAAATTCTTTTTTCTCTACATTTCATAAAAATATGATGACTCTACAGGTTGTTTAAAAAAATTAACTAGAAACACTTTCAGCTCTGGATTTCATAGCTACATGTACATGCATTAAGTGGTTTAAGTTTGGCTTTTTTCATTACATTGATGCTAGAATTAGAAAATATCCAAAGGAGAGCTACACGTTTTATCTGCAAGAACTCCGAACTCTCTAACAAGGACAGATTCTTGAACCTTAACCTCCTACCTCTCAACTACTGGCTGGAATATCTTGATTATTATTTCTCTACAAGTTTATTTATGGAATTATTGTTATTAATTTAGATAACTCTGCTCAATTTTATAGTGGGTGTTCCCATTGAGGATCTTCTGGGCTTTTTCTCAACAACAAAACTGCTAAAACATCTCTTTTCCATAATTCCTTCTTCATCCGAATAACTAATCTGTGGAATGCATTACCTATCGCTATAAGATCAGAGGTAAAGTTCCTTTTAAGAAAAAGTTAAAATGGTTTTTTATGATAGACTAAGTTCAATGTTCAATCATTATGATATTTGTTCTTATGAGTTAGCCTGTCTGAAGTGTCACTGTGCCAATACTATAACATGTTGTTCTTGTTAATTTCTCAAAATTTTTTTCTTTTTTTTTTTCATTATTATTTTTATCAGGGTACCAGGGAAGGGTTGTCAATTTTTTAGGGAAATGGTTAGGTGATGGGTTTACTTAGCAGGGGACCTAGGGTTCTATTGTATGCCCACCTACCTCAAGGCGAATTTTGTAAATAAATAAATAAATAGCAAATAAAATAAGTTAATTTTACTATTCACTGCTTTCAACAGGTCAAGATTCGATGTTTCAATACGTCATGTTTTTAGAGTCCACCCATTTAAAAACATATTCATTTTTAAACACTGCATGTTTTTTCAGTCAATTTATATAAGTTATAAAAATACTTCACTACACTTAATGGGTGATTTCACTGTAAAACTGAACCTCTGAAACTCATGCAGAAAAAAGAAATTAGATCCACATTGATCGCATTCTTGATTACCTTTGGCTTGATTTTGGCTTACAATTTACAGTAGCTTGGGTTTGGACACGTACTGCATTATGATCATGCCAGGATAATTTTATATCTGAGGTACAAAATCGATTCATTGCAGAGTTTTTATTTTAAATTTCCTACTTTATTTCTTTTCTTGTGCACAGGACAGTGAATTCATGGACTTTCTATCTAAGCTAAGGGGATCAACTGAAATCAAAGCAATTCTCAACAGTGATGGCCACTGTTCCATTCCAAGAATAGTGGAAGATTATGAAGCAGTTGTTGGGATAACAGCCATCACTGATACCAGAAAGGAGGGGCCTTCATCACTTCACACGTTGCCATTTATTAACTCCTTGAGGGAAGTGTCCTCTCAACTGCAAACATTTCAGGCCTCTCCTGAGACTCCAGATGGAACAGCCTGTGGTTCAGCGCTGAATGCTGCCCGTCAAATTTTGTATTGGTCGTCTGTTTTTATTTCAATGATGGAGGCCAGCAATACAGGGCAGCCTACATGTACCGTATCATTATCCACTTCCACATCATCCACATTGTCAACACCAACATCATCTACATCAGTGTTAGCTTCACCAACATCATCTGCATCAACATCATCTGCATCATCATCATCTGCATCAATATCATCTGCATCACCATCATCTGCATCAACATCATCAACATTGGCATCATCTAGTTTGACACCATCTGTATTAACATCATTTACCTTGACATCTTCTGTATCCACATCACCTACATCATCTAGGTCATCTTTATCCAGTCATAACCCACCTGCTACAACTTGTGCATCTTTGTTGTCAAATGTTATTCCACTATCAGTGCAACAGGACCTGCATCCTTTATCCTCATTTAATCAGCAGTCTTCCCGCTCAGTAGTAAATCCTCAACCTTCCACTTCAGATACTCTGCCATTTGGTCAGCATTCTCTGTCATTTCCTCCAGTTTTTCTGCTACTGGTTGTACAGCGTCTCCGTTTTTCATGCTCAGCTATCTTCATCAACTCCACTCCTACCTTCCACATTATCTGGACAACCTGCAACATTGCCTCCTCAAGCTCCCTCTATCTCATCCTTGCCAGTGGAAGTCACACCATCACCATTACAACAAGTTTCATCATCTTTAAGCCTGTCACATCCGTCATGTAGTCAGCCTTCATCTTCACAGTCAAGTGTCCATAATTATTCAATTTCATCTATATTCCGCCCAGTCATTTCATCCACTGCATCCACTGCCTTGCAGACATTTCATCAAAATTCTCCTGCTCCAGCTCTTCAGCTATCTTCACCCTCAGTTTCATCTGTTTTGTATCATCAAGTGCCACCAGCATGCTCTTCTGTGGTATTAGATCCTGTGACTCTTAACATCCATGCCAAATATGGTCTTCCTGGTCAATCCTGTTTAGACTGGCTAAATTCATTAACAATTCCAAGAAATGTTGAAAGTCTGGAGCAAGTGAAGGAGATCTGGGAGCTTGGAAGCCAACATTGTCCACCATTAAGAGATTGGACTGTGCTAATGAGGAACTTTAAGTCATCCAAAGGACGAAATACTTCCATTTACAGTCAACGTAAATTTATTTATTTATTATTTCAACGTCATGGGTTTGATGTTAGCAGCATCTCTTCTCAGTACAATGAAGTTAAACCTGGTAAACTATACAAACTTTTAAACACTAGTAAACAAAATTGATGAATGTTGTTCCTGAAATCATTGACTACATTTTAATTCCTATCAATAAGTTAAAGCCTTGTATAAGGAAGCTGGTGGCCAACAAAAATTTCCCTGCTTTCCAGCATGAATCTTGACTGGTTACTTTGTTACTGGTTGTTTTCAAGTGCCGTATTTGTAGGAGTGCTTGAATTACATCTTGTTGGTGTTTTTAATTATTTAGACTTAGCAATAACTGGTCAATTTACCTGGCAGTTTTCTCGATGTACATGTAAATATATGCCTGCAGTTCATTGTGGTAGTTTTGCTCAACATTTTATGCATGAAAAGTAGCATCTTGAAGTTTAATTTTCATGTGGCTTCTCAATACTTGTTATTGGTTTTACTGGCCAGTATTTCTGCCGTTTCCTCCACTTGCTTCTTGCTCGGCAGTGAACGGGAGGAAATTAACGTAAAATTTGAGATACTTACAGTTTATCGCATTGTTGTTTTATAGTAATAATCTTTAAAAAAATTTTCATAGGACAGATATTGATTATTCCCTATTGTAGCTATTCAGTGTGCAACATTTTTGATGGAACACTTAAGGCCTATTTACACGGTACGACTTTGTCGCATGCGACAAGCTTACGACAAACCTACGACACGAATTGTATCGTGTAAATCAAACCTACCACTCGCTTACGACTGTCGTGCACGTCACGAAAAATGTCGTAGGATTTTAAAACATGTTTTAAAACGCTGCGACAATTGTAGCCGAAATTGATAGAAAATGACGTATTTTGTGACAAATTTCTACTGAGTAGGGGAGGAGGGTGAAATTTTCTTGCGTCAAAATGGCGGAGGAAGTCGCCTCCGGAAAGTCGAAGACTGCTTCCAAAGCGAAAAATACATTCTCAGATGAGGAAACAGAGAATATGATATCACTGTGGAGCGAGGAAGAGGTTCTTTTCCTTCTCTTGCAAATTATTGAAACAATGACCGCGGCCGAAACGAGTGGAATTGCACGCGATTTTGGCATGTCGTAGGTGAAAATGTCGTGCGCGTGTAAATTGTCCTAAGTCATGTCGTAGGCCTGTCGTAAGCTTGTCGCATGCGACAAAGTCGTACCGTGTAAATAGGCCTTTAGTGAGGTCTACATGTGTAGACCTTAATACTTCTCACCCATGGATCGAAATACATTTCATTTGATTTATTTCAAAAAAGGAAAATGCACGACGCATTCCATTTTAGTTTTTGCATGGAACTCCTCTGATTCTCTGGAGGTGCTGTCATGATTTAAATGAAAACTATTTCAGGCCCTTATTTGATCCACTTCAAATGTACAAATACCTTTCTTGTAAGACCTTTGACGCATGGAAGTAACAATTTTACTCTGACATCAAACAACACCATTTATACTGTTTCCATCTCTCCCTCGTTTCCATTTTCCCGTTCCTTCTTTCGCTTTCCCTTTCCTTTTCCCTGTCCTTGTTTGTCTCCCTTTCTTCCCAGGTTAGGGTTAAAGGCCGCTTGGTGTCTCCAAAGAGGATCCAGAATGTCGGCCTATCTTATTTCCCTAAAAATAAACATTTGTTTTCGATTTTAGGAAACAAAAAATAACCTTTTCCATTTGTCGGCTTAAGAGGTTCTTGAAGTTAAAGGCTAAAGAGGTTCTTTAGCTTAACAGGATCTTAATCGTGGGTTATGTTACTGGGCGTCTTTATACGCGTTTAGCCGTCGCATTTGCCCGCTGGAATACTATGTTGTTTTAGCGCGAGGACAAGAATTCCAACTTGCAATTGTGACGGCAATGCGCGTGTATTGCAAGTAAATATGCCCGTTGTATCGACTATTGATTGAGGTTGTTATAAAATAATCGTCCTGTACGGGCGGTGGAATGCATATTGCTTACACCTTATTGCATTGACGTCAATACCAAAGCAAAGAACCAAAATGGAGTTAGTTAAATGATAATACGTTTCAACACTAACAACCGTCTATTGCTGCTAATTAATATTGCAATTGAAATAAATAATTAGCATAAATTAAAGTTTTTCTGGTGCCATTTTCATGCGCAATACTGATTTATCTAGCTCATTTCAATTAAAATAAGGGAATGTAGATCACGTGCCTAATTACTTCCTGTCTTTGTTGTTATTGTTTTTTTTTTTGTGTTTTGCTTGTATCTTTTTCCTTTTTGAAATGACAACGTTACGGCGATTAGGTGTCTTTCACAACGTAGAGTTTTGTCTGGATCCGCATTGCATTCGTTAAACCGTTTCACCCGACTTAATTTCTATTTCCTTGGCTTGCATCGTCCTTGTCGCCAGAGCCGCTTGTCCTTCTTAGCCGGCTGAGCCCGTGCACGAGAATCTTGGCCGGTTTTACACAAAAAGAACGGCCAATCAAAGGAGCCGTCGTAAAATTACTTTGTTATACAGGAGTTTGAAACTGTTGCTTCGACTGGCTCGATTTTAAACTCCCTTTCAAATCCGGCCGACCAAATCATGTGTCCCGAGAACCACTTGTTTCTCGTGCACAGGCTAAGAAGGACAAGCGGCTCTGAGGATCAAAATGGGCCTGAATATCATTGTGAACAGGCTGTTTGGTCAAGAACGTCTTTATTCCATCTTTTAATTCATTTAATGAACGATCGCAAAATGCGATACATCTACTGACCACCAATTGCGTTTTCACGTAATATGTGTTGTAAAAAGTAAAGGCTATAGTCCATACTTTTTATACCACATATTGCGTTAACGCAATATGTGGTATAAAAAGTAAAGGCTATAGTCCATACTTTTTATTCCATATATTGCGTTGACGCAATTTGTGGTTCTAGTAGATGTACCACATTTTGCGATCGCGTTAAAGCGTCTTACTATTCTTTTACCAGGTTTTGCGTTATTACAAACTGTGGTATGAAAAGTATGGACGGTATAGCCTTTAATTTTGAAACCACAATTTGCAATAACGCAAAACCTGGTAAAAGAACAGTAAGACATATTTTTAAACCGGAGAACGAACCTCGCAAAATGTGGTACATCTACTAGAGCCATATATAAATCGCGTTAACGCAATATATGGTATAAGTAGTCTTCCACCCAATTTAGCTGAGGTCCTACTACTTAACTGATCAGTAAAGGGACTGATCCAGAACGCCAGCATCCATAGCTGACGGGCTCATTTTATTTATTCTGTTCTGTTTTCCTTTCATTTATGGGCAATTGAGAACAAGTTTCCAAACGTAATTGTGTATAGGTATTGTAATTTTTCTCAACGATTAAACTTTAAACGCGGAATATGGGACTTCTAGTATAGTTTGCGGCGACTCAATCTTGGTCTGATTAATGAAAGCCATGTTTCGCGATCAGATTCTTATAGCAAAAGATGGGGTTTTGGTATAAAACACATTTTGCGATGTTTCGATCTGTGTCTAATTAGTGAAAGCCATATTTTGCGATGAAATATTTAACGCGAAATATGGGATTCTTGTATAAAACGTATTTTGCGATGTTGCAAACTGCGACTTCATTAAACGCCACAGAATGCGACACCTCAAAATATGGTTTTTTGGTGAGCACGATTTTCCAAATTCGCGAGACACAAACACTCCACTGGAAAATTAATTTTGGTTCTTGACGAATTTTTCGGATAAGGTACTTCTGAGAACCCAGGTTTTGCGATATCTCAAACTATGGCACATTTTAGGAACACATTTTGCGATAACTCAATCTGTGTCTTATCGATGAAAACCATGTTTTGCGAACAAACTTTAAACGCAAAATATGGGATTCTGGTGCAAAACGCATTTTGCGATGATTCAATCTGTGGCTCATTTAACAAACGTACAAAGATTCCCTGGTTTTGATTTTATGGCGATTTCTGATTTCTTACTTTACTTTAATATTTGGGAGGCAGTCATGTTGCGAATATACCTCTACGGGATCATCACGTAGTAGTGGTGAAGTGGTTCGTGTGCCTCTATGAACCCATAGAGGTATGCCGGCGGTAGTCTCAATAATATATTTATACAGGGTAACCCTACAGTACATGAGCATTGTTATTAAAGGGGTCTTTTGGGTAAGGGGGGGGAGGGGGGCTATAACCAGGTGTATTTTTTTGCTTCCAGGTATAAGGGCCTATAATAAGGGGGAACTTGAGAAAGGATTCGAAGAGAAACACGTCAATACAAATGGGTGGGGGCAATACAAGAGAGCGGAGCGTGCAACTGCGGTAGAGAGGACATAATGGGAAAAGAAGCACTAAAAGAGATCGATGAGAATGAAGACATTCATTGACTGCTGCGCCTTCAATGATTTGTCCATTGAAGGCTCCTTCTTCCAACACAAGGAAATACACAAAGTAACATTACCTACACCTGCCTTCACCAGTACAATCAAATGGATCACATCACAGTCTCAAAGAAGTGGAAAAAAAAACCCTTTTTGATGTTAAAGTCACAAGAGGATCGGATGTTGACTCTGATTATCAC